AACGTTGTCACCCACCTCAGATTTTCGTGACAATGGTTTGATATTTTCTTCATGACTTCGTAACGAGTTCTTAAATTCCGTAAATGTCATTTGTCTTTCCCTTTGAACTGTTACGGTAGCAAAGACGTCGTACGTGCTTGGTAGACCCTAAAACCATTGCAATGAGTAGTGCATCACTTATTATCTCCTCGGCTTCTCTTAAGGCTTATTTGCCGATCGTTCCGCTCGCAATATATAATCTGTGACAGTCTCGTCGTCACTTTTCTTCAGCGAAGTGAGTTCCGTGTAAAGAGCGATGATGTGTAGGGATTTCTAAATGCTCCGTCCAGTTGTCTTTTGCCTCCCGAATCACAAAGAGACAAACTTCTGTCGTCCAGACATTGGACCAACTCTGCAAAAGCGTCAGCCAGTTTTGAAGCTGCTGGTTCTTCTCTCTCACTTGCTGATTCGATAAATACGTCGTACACAGTTTTTGAAGACGCATATAGCCCAAAATTTTACTTCCCATGACTCGTATTTGCTTTCCTTCCATCAAAAGCAAACCTCTCCTGGCCCATAACCTGTTGAGTTCGTGTTACTCGCGTTATCTCTTTCTTAGTATACTATGCTGAGTAACAACCACGAGTGAACTTAATGATCGAACTGATTTTGTTATTTTACAGAGCAGTATTTATACTAATTGTACAAACAACAAATATTGTTATTGGCCAGATAGTTCCTCTGTTTACGGTATATATATGGTATATAAGAAATTTAACTAACGTCAATAATGTTCCTTGGCTCTTAGCCGTGTGGGAACGGATACATTAATAAACTAAACTACGCATACTATTTCCTTAACATGTTTTGTGGTTTATGAGCATGACTCAACAAAAGGGCTTTGTTTGATATGTGAATTATAAGAAAAACTTGTAATAAGTCTTTAAAAAATTATTTATTTTCACATTTCTTTATATTATGCACAAAATACAAGTTAAACTAGCACATATCTCTTTATGATTACAATCAATTTGAACACAAATGGGTACCATTACATTGATTAGGTTATGAGCTTTCTTTTGATATGTGAATTGTAGAAAATATCTTTAAAAACACGATATAAAAATTATTTATATTTTCAAATTTAAACAACTACACCAAAACTTGAAGTTACTTTTTCTGATATCACTTTTTCATTACAACCAAATTTCAAACAACATATACCATTACATTGATCTGTCTAAGGGCTTTGTTTTGATATGTGAATTATAAGAAAAACTTGTAATAAGTCTTTTAAAAATTATTTACATTTTCACATTTCTTTATATTATGTAAAAAACAAGTTAAACTAGCACATATCTCTTTATGATTACAATCAATTTGAACACAAATGGTACCATTACATTGAGGTTATGAGCTTTCTTCTGATATGTGAATTGTAGAAAATATCTTTAAAACACTTTAAATTATTTATATTTTCAAATTTTAGCTACAATTACACAAAACTTGAAGTTACTTTTTCTGATATCACTTTTCATTACAACAAAATTTCAAACAACATATACCATTACATTGATCTGTCTAAGGGCTTTGTTTTTGATATGTGAATTATAAGAAAAACTTGTAATAAGTCTTTTAAAAAAATTATTTACATTTTTCACATTTCTTTATAATTATCATAAAAATACAAGTTAAACTAGCACATATCTCTTTATGATTACAATCAATTTGAACACAAATGGTACCATTACATTGATAAGGTTATGAGCTTTCTTTTGATATGAATTGTAGAAAATATCTTTAAAAACACTATATAAAAAATTATTTATATTTTCAAATTTTAGCTACAATTACACAAAACTTGAAGTTACTTTTTCTGATATCACTTTTCATTACAACCAAATTTCAAACAACATAAACCATTACATTGATCTGTCTAAGGGCTTTGTTTTGATATGAATTATAAGAAAAACTTAATAAGTCTTTAAAAAATTATTTACATTTTCACATTTCTTTATATTATGCGCAAAAAATACAAGTTAAACTAGCACATATCTCTTTATGATTACAATCAATTTGAACACAAATGGTACCATTACATTGATTAGGTTATGAGCTTTCTTTTGATATGTGAATTGTAGAAAATATCTTTAAAAACACTATATAAAAATTATTTATATTTTCAAATTTTAGCTACAATTACACCAAAACTTGAAGTTACTTTTTCTGATATCACTTTTCATTACAACCAAATTTCAAACAACATATACCATTACATTGATCTGTCTAAAGACTTTGTTTTGATATGTGAATTATAAGAAAAACTTGTAATAAGTCTTTTAAAAAAATTATTTACATTTCACATTTCTTTATATTATCATAAAAATACAAGTTAAACTAGCACATATCTCTTTATGATTACAATCAATTTAAACACAAATGGTACCATTACATTGATTAGGTTATGAGCTTTCTTTTGATATGTGAATTGTAGAAAATATCTTTAAAAAACACTATTTAAAAAATTATTTACATTTTCAAATTTTAGCTACAATTACACCAAAACTTGAAGTTACTTTTTCTAATATCACTTTTTCATTACAACCAAATTTCAAACAACATATACCATTACATTGATCTTTCTAAGGGCTTTGTTTTGATATGTGAATTATAAGAAAACACTTTTAATAAGACTTTAAAAAAATTATTGACATTTTCACATTTCTTTATATTATGCGCAAAAAATACAAGTTAAACTAGCTCATATCTCTTTATGATTTCAATCAATTTGAACACAAATGGTACCATTACATTGATTAGGTTATGAGCTTTCTTTTGATATCTTAATTGTATAAAATATCTTTAAAAAACACTATTTAAAAAATTATTTACATTTTCAAATTTTAGCTACAATTACACAAAAACTTAATGTTACTTTTTCTGATATCACTTTTTCATTACAACCAAATATTAAACAAAATATACCATTACATTGATCAGTCTAAGGGCTTTGTTTTGATATGTGAATTATAAGAAAAAACATTTAATTAGACTTTTAAAAAAATTATTTACATTTTCACATTTCTTTATGTTATGCGCAAAAATTACAGGTAAACAATCTCATATCTGTTTATCATTACAATCAATTTGAATAAAAATGGTACCATTACATTGATGAGGTTATGAGCTTTCTTTTGATATGTGAATTGTATAAATTATCTTTAAAAAACACAATTTAAAAAATTATTTACATTGTTAGATTTCTGTATATTATGCGCAAAAAATACAAGTTAAACTACTTCATATCTCTTTATCATTACTATCAATTTCAGCACAACTGGTACCATTACACATGAGCTTTCATATAATATGTCGTTTTTAAACTTTAAATAAAAAGTTTTAATTTTTGTAATATAATCTTATAGTAAAAATATGGAAAACCGGCAATATATCACAATCTAAAAATAGCCATGATTTCATTTTTTGCATGGCATCATGTTTTACTAAGGTGTATAACATGTGAAAAATTCAGCGACATACGAAGCTTCATTACTGAAATAAAATTTTCAATTTAAAGATTTTTTTTGTAATATAATTTATAGTAAATTTCAAAATTCAAACGTCAATTTCTCGTTATTTTCAAAAAACAATTTAAAAAGAAGAAATCGATTTCTAGATATTTCATAGATCTTTCATATTCTGTAATAAACCAGCCACTTTCTATGTGCCAGAAAAGTTACCATTCTTTTATAGCAATATGTTATAATATTATAAAGCTAAAGTTATATCTATGAGCAGATTTTATGAATAGTCATAATGAAAACCTTAGTTACGTCAACCTAACGGAAATAAGTAATAACTGGCTTGTGGCAATAAGCGTTCATAGCGACGTTGCTTTTTGATCCTTCGATGTCGGCTCTTCCTATCATTGCGAAGCAGAATTCGCCAAGCGTCGGATTGTTCACCCGCCAATAGGGAACGTGAGCTGGGTTTAGACCGTCGTGAGACAGTTTGTTTTACCCTACTGTTGAAGTGTTGTTGCAATAGTAATTCTGCTCAGTACGAGGAAGGAACCAGATTCAGACAATTGGCTCATGCACTTGCCTGAAAAGACAATGGTGCGAAGCTACCATCTGTTGGATTATGATTGAACGCCTCTAAATCAGAATCCGTGCTAGAACATAAACGATTCCTTTCTCTGAACGACTTAAGCGAACTAGAATAGAGATGCTTGTCATCTCCTGCATCACAATGTGCCTACGGTGCGGACTTTGCACCAAAGCACTGCATTGATCAAAATCTAAATGATGACTCACCAGTGATGATTAAGCAGTCGGTCTAATGTAGATTTGGTTTTGCTCTTTCATTGCTTTCGTGCAAAATTGTGGAATAACTTTATCGCAGATGAGGTGATTCACTTGGTTTGTGAGTGTTGTACATTCTTTCCAATGGACACTGATATGTACTAAACTAATGTTGCCTATGGAAGGAGGTAATTCATCATGCTTCCTTCACAAACTTGCATTTGTTGTAAACATACTGCACATTTAACCATTATGGGTACGTGTTCTTGTCAATGCTTGCATCAATTGCAATGAGAGACTTTGAAAGACGTGGCAAATAGATGGATACTTGCTCTTTCTTTCGTTGAGCAATCCCATGTGAGAGAAACATAAACGAACAGGTTCTAGCATATATGCTGTTCCCTAAGTTTATCTCAGCAATGGAAGTTAACTGGTTGATCCTGCCAGTATCATATGCTTGTCTCAAAGATTAAGCCATGCATGTCTAAGTATAAGCACTTGTACTGTGAAACTGCGAATGGCTCATTAAATCAGTTATCATTTATTTGATTGTACCACTTACTACTTGGATAACCTTAGTAATTCTAGAGCTAATACATGCGAAAAGTCCCGTCTTTTGCGGAAGGGATGTATTTATTAGATTAAAACCAATGCGGCTTCACGGCGCAAAACCCATGGTGATTCATGATAACTATTCGAATCACATGACCTTTTAACTTTTCGCCGGCGATGTTTCATTCAAATTTCTGCCCTATCAACTGTCGATGGTAAGGTAGTGGCTTGTCATGGTTGCCTTGGTGACGGAGAATTGGGGTTCGATTCGGAGAGGAGCCTGAGAAACGGCTACCACATGCAAGGGGCAGCGGCGCAAATTACCCAATCCTGACGTAGGGAGGTAGTGACAAAAATAACAATACAGGGCTTTTTGTAGTCTTGTAATTGGAATGAGTACAATTTAAATCTCGCGAACCAATTGGAGGCAAGTCTGGTGCCAGCAGCCGCGGTAATTCCAGCTCAATAGCGTATTGTTAAGTTCTTGCAGTTAAAAGCTCGTAGTTGGATTTCGGGCTCGACGGCGACGGTCTGCCGCAAGGTATGCTACTGTCGGCGTTGGCCTTCTTCGCGCAGACTTCAGTGCTCTTAACTGAGTGTGTGTTGGATATGCGACGTTTACTTTGAAAAAATTAGAGTGTTTAAAGCAGGCTTTTGCTTGAATACATAAGCATGGAATAATGGAATAGGACTTTGGTTCTATTTTCCGTTGGTTTCTGGAACCGAAGTAATGATTAATAGGGACAGTTGGGGGCATTCGTATTTCGTTGTCAGATGTGAAATTCTTGGATTTGAAAGACGAACTAATGCGAAAGCATTTGCCAAGAATGTTTTCATTAATCAAGAACGAAAGTTAGAGGATCAAAGACGATCAGATATCGTCCTAGTTCTAACCATAAACGACGCCGACTAGGGATCAGCGAGTGTTATTTGATGACCTCGTTGGCACCTTATGGGAAACCAAAGTCTTTGGGTTCCGGGGGAAGTATGGTTGTAAAGCTGAAACTTAAAGGAATTGACGGAAGGGCACCACCAGGAGTGGAGCCTGCGGCTTATTGACTCAACACGGGAAAACTCACCAGGTCCAGACATAGTAAGGATTGACAGATTGAGAGCTCTTTCTTGATTCTATGGGGGGTGGTGCATGGCCGTTCTTAGTTGGTGGAGTGATTTGTCTGCTTAATTCCGTTAACGAACGAGACCTTGATCTGCTAAATAATCAGACGAATCGCTCTCGACTTCTTTGAGGGACTGTTACGTGTTTAACCAAAGTCAGGAAGGCAATAACAGGTCTGTGATGCCCTTAGATGTCCTGGGCCACACGCGCGCTACACTGACGATGGCAATGAGTTGCTCCTTCACCGAAAGGTGTGGGTAATCTTTTGAATCATCGTCGTGCTGGGGATAGATCATTGTAATTCTTGATCTTGAACCAGGAATTCCTAGTAAACGCGAGCTGATGACTCGCGCTCACTAGTAAGCCGAATGATTAGAGGTCTTAGGGTCGAAATGACCTTAACTTATTCTCAAACTTTAAATTGGTAAGAAGTCCAACTTGCTTAACTGAAGTTAAACATTCGAACGCGAGCTCTTAGTTGGCCATTTTTGGTAAGCAGAACTAGCGATGCGGGATGATTCGAACGCCGAGTTAAGGTGCCAAAGTCGACGCTCATCAGATCCCACAAAAGGTGTTAGTTGATATGGACAGCAGGACGGTGGCCATGGAAGTCGGAATCTGCTAAGGAGTGTGTAACAACTCACCTGCCGAATCAACTAGCCCTTAAAATCGATGGCGCTCAAGCGTCGCACCTATACTCGGCCGTCAAACAAGTGCGATGTTTTGACGAGTAGGAGGGCGCAGTCGTCGTGACGCAGCCTTTGGCGCAAGCCGAGGTGAAACGGCGAAACTGTATCCCCAACCCAGTCTAATTGTATCCACCCTCAGCGTTTCTAGACCAACGCTGGCGTAGACGTGCGCAATACAGTGCTATACAGCATCTGTATGCCCGAAAACCATCTGCGGCAGCGCACAAGGTGTTGTATGGTTCATGGAGAAATCCTGAACCATTATCCACGCCTTCTGTCGATGAGTTCGAAGAGCCTGGCAGCCTATCTTTGAGACACCATCAACAAAGATACATGACCGCTTGCATTGGAGGGTGCAATGGTCACTTGTTGTTCCGGTGACACCTGATGAGATCTTGAAGGTGTTATCGGCGGGTGCTGATTCAGCACCTGGCCCTGATGGGATAAGGATGAGGGATATCGTTGGACTTGGAGCAGATGTCCATGCAATACGTGCAAAATCATATGTGATTCATTAGACTTTATTTTACTAAAACACTATCAAATTAATAACATACTAGCACAACTGAAATACACACATCATGTTAGCTATTTTCACTCTTTCCAATATATCATGCATTAACTTTATAACTTGTTAATATAGAAAAGGCTTTATGAAAACATTTTGCACAATGTACAATGGCAATATGTCAAATATCTGAGAGCCAAGTAGCAAATATTACTAATTTCTGTTGCACGACAAAAAATGGAAAAACAAATTTATCTCATATCATATTGAAACATAATTTTATCACAGCCTATACAATTTCTTATAATGCATTATATATTACCACATGTGGTTCAGATAGTGACACGTAAACACAAACAACAGAAACTGTTTAAAATTATTCCTTTTACTCGTTAATTTAAAGTTTTAACTTGAAACATTAATGTTTTTATTTCCCTTACTTTCCAGCATCTTCAACCGATTTGCGTTTCCTTTTTTGTTTTTTGCTACTTCAACATGAGCAACGTCGACAGCAATAGAACATCTTTGCTCGAACTAGCACCTTCATTAATCAATTCTTCATTAACAACCATGCTATATGTGTCCGCTTCCTGTTACCACTTTTCTCTATGCTAATGATTCATCTCTTTCCCTCGCCTATTTCCTTTTCTGTTACTTTCAGACCCTTTCCTTTCCTTTTCCTTTTGTTTTCCTTTTCCTTTTCCCATTTCTCCACGACGTGTATTTCCTCTTGAAGCTCAATATCATGTCCATTTACTGATAGTTTATCGTCGACAGCAGCCCTATTTCTTCGACCATGTTGCGCCGTCTGTGGACCCGCGGGAACTGCCATAGCAGTGTGAGCATTTTCTGCATAGTTGCCAATGTCTTGGTGTTCTTGAATTCAACAGCCGAAGGATGATCGTTCATTAATTTATTTGCATATATTTGTTGTTTACACAAACTTGCATGGCCCTCATCTGACACAGCTTGATGTATGGCGAAGCTTGTTGCATCCACACATTGTGGTCTAATTCTGTTTGCAACCCCATTTCATCACTTCAAATATATCCTGACTAGACGCATTGCATGTCTTGTCCTTTTTGTTTATATTATTCATAAGAGACTGATGAATCTGTCCAATGTTTTTTTCCAGTTCTATTTCTATTTCTTCGGATAGAAAATTCGAGCCTTTTACTATTTCCCAGTTTTCAATGATTGCCTGGGAGGCTTCAATTATTGCAAAATCCGGCCGACACATCCACTCACAATTTCTTGAGCTCAACTTTTTTAGAAATTCGTTGTTGTTTACCATCAACTGGGCATCGTAGGGGCGTAAAAAATAATGAGGGAAGTGTTTGAAATATGTCACTTTTCAGGTGACACTTTTGGATTGAAAAGACATCTAAATGAAAAAAGCTCATTATAGGCTAAAAAGTTGTTCAATTATGTCTAAATTTCTTTGATGAATGAACCTCATGGGTTTTATAACCTGCTCTACGTCAGTTAACAATCTTTCAACAACACTATGCAGCTATAAAATTATAAACAGCAACACCTCTAATTACACTATTAAAATCAATATATGTTCTTCCAACAAAAAACTGTCAGTAAAATATAAACGTCTTTATAAGATATAAATTTCAAATGACATCCAAATGCTTTACAACCAATGTAAATTAAAACGAGAAATCTGCTCACTCCTACTATAGTTAGTCACGTGAGATCACATTTGGGGTCAAAGTTGCATGATTTTTTAAGAGTTTTAAATACACTTTCAACTTTTTGAAATTCAGTTTAATGTTAATACATATCTCAACAACTAAATTAATATAATCACATTTGAACTTATTTTAATTGCAACAAATATAAGAATGCTTCTTCAATTTTTGACTTTCCTCATAACATATGTATGAAACAAGTTTTCAATTAAATGATAACTAAATGCATGTTCAACTGTACAATTAAATCTCTTCCCCTGCTTATTGTTATTCTAAATTTAAAAGAATATGTTAAATATTTCATACATGTATTTAGCAAAAGATTATTTTTATTGCAAGAATATAAAAATTGTCTATAGATAAACAACATGTTATTATGTCGTATTTAAAAAATGTTTTGCCCATTATCACAAATGTTTCAAACATTAAATCTCTAGTTAAATTAGGTGATTAGACTTATTACATCATTTCCCAGCCTGCATTGTATAATGTGTCTTTTAAGGCAAATTCATTTCTCACTTTTTTGTAAAGGTCACGTATTGCAAATATTAGAAAATTTCTGCAAATTTACATTGTTAAGTACTTTACGAATGCTTTTCCACGTTGAATTGGATAAATATTTCATTACAAACTTTATCATAACAATGAGCTTAACACAAATATCATCATATTTATATATATAACTTATATGTCATCAATCTTTAAAACTGCTTTAATATACAGGCACATAAGTACCTTTTTTTCTAAGAATGTTTTCGAAAATTTTCATAGTTCAATTTAATACTTTTTTCGTTTTTTTAAATTTCATCAAACAATTTTCGAAATTTTAAACTCATCAATAAAGCCATTGTGAATCCAGTAGTAGTAAAGATTTTTGAATAGTTTTCTATCAGAATAATAACATTATTCATATGGAAAAAACATACCTTAAGAAAAGTTGTTGTTCAAAGAAATTTAAATTCTTTGTAGGATCTAAATTAAATGAAATTAAATTATATTTTTACAAATATTCCAACTCTTGACAGAATAAGAAAGAACACTTTTTAACAATTTTATACACCTCAAGTCAACCACCGGTAAAATTTACAATTGTTATGCTATGCAATATCAACACGGAAAAAAAAATGATTTTACTAATATAAAATTCACAAATATATATAATCAAACTTAAGTGTATGCTACATTGTTCTGCTTGTTTACTTGTACTTTTCACTTTTGAAATTTACATTTGATTGCTAGTATTAGTATAAAAAATCACAATAATCCCATTATAAAGAAAAACGTTACAAGTAATTTCTCTAACTCTTACAAGGTTGAACTTGATGAAACATATTAGCCATAATAGCACTTAACCAAAATTCACACATCGTAACCTATAATAAACTAATGTCATTTTATACATTTTGATTTTACTGTATATTGTTTGGTTTTATGTCTCTTTTATTAAAAATGTTTCCGTTTTTAAACATAAGAATACTTGGTTTCACAATTATTACTTGGATGCCATTCAATTTTGTTAAAAACCCTTGAAACATAAGCACATTACATTGTTAGCCAAAGGATAAGATTTAACCATAATAGTTGCATTAAGAAAAAAGGATTTCAATTTTTTTATTTTTTAAATATTTGGAAAACGATTAAATAGCAACATTAATACATGTCAACACATCTTTATCTTTATTAGTAAGCCAATATTTTAAATCATTTACTATTTGTAGTCACACTTTATAATGTAGTCTTTTTCCAAAAACAGCATTAAAATTTTACAGGATAAAAATGATCATGACATATTGGAGTTAAAATTTTATGTTGTCTAAAGATTTCACACGAGACAAAGCCACATATGCTGCTCCTTCACCAAGCATTTTTGTGTCAAACCACAAAAAAACATTTTGAAGTGTTTGACCTTGCGATTTGCATATCGATATGGCATAACCTGGCACAAAAGGATAACATGTCTTAATATGCGACTCCAATTTTCCATTCTCATCCTCTTCATGGATCATCGTTGAAACTGGAAAAACCGTAACTACCTTTTCAGTTGGAAGTCTCACAACTACAGTTTTTTCTTTCATCATCGAGATAATGCCAGGTTGTCCATTCACAATACCTTTCTGTTTGTCTCGGTTTTGTGTGATAATTATCCGCATCCCTTTAAATATATCAAAGGCAGTTCATCATTGTCCATTTGCACAGTGGCAATGTAATCCCTTTGCAAAACAAGTTTTTACAATCAGCTGATTTATATGAGAACACCATTCCTTGTAACAGTAACAAAAGTGTTTGAAATATTTTCTCGAATTACAGACAAAAGTTTGGCATCAGTTATGGATTGACAATGATGAAGAACACGATTTTCCTGCAATTTCTCTAAGATTTTTCCGTAACATTCCAATAACGAATATGGTCTAATATCTTCAAAGTCCTTATCATTGACGCGATGTTGCCTTGTGGTTTGAATGACCTGGTTATAGCATTGAAGTTTTCAAATTGATAAATACTTTTTCCGATGTTGTACGATTGTTCATTGTTCTTATTGGGGTAATTGATATTTATCACCGCAAATCAACAAAAAGGACTCATGGGAATTTGTCTTAAAGTTGAGAGTATGTGCTGAAAATGCTCCACTGTCACCATGGATACCTCATCAATTAAAATAAGGTCATACATACTCAAATTCCAATTTATTTGTGGAGATGAACCATCGATTGGAATAAGAAAAATGAGTGAATCGTATTAGCATCGATTTCCTCATCAAATAATGCACGATAGGAAGATGCTAACATACCAGTAGGTGTAGCAACAAGTGTTGTAAACTGATTATCAATTGCAAACTTAACACACATAAAGTCTTTGCCTTTCCTGTGCCAGGTTTGCCAGTAACAGAAATAACTTTTCGCCAATCCTGTGTACTTTCATATCTTTCATTCTCCTCATTGTCATACATGGCATAATATTGACTCCTGTATCTTAGAAATAACTTTACCATGTTTACCACATTCACTTGCATGTTGTCAATCTTCATTTATTCCACAATTCATGCACGATAAAAGTCTTCATTTCTCAGCTTTCATTCTCCACAGATTATACACATCCATCGTGTTTGCAAAATAGTTTAAAACATTGTCAACAAAATACTCTTTATGCCTTCCTTTTGCAACATATCTTTCAGGCAAATTCTTCCATCAAATGTGGTATATGAACAATACATGCTGCAAAATATTGTAATGCTGGTAAAATTTCATGATTCGGATGTCTCAGATCTTCCAGTTTCCGATGTTCTTTATTCATAAGAATAAATTGAAAGAAAAAATCACTATTGAAATATGACGTATATTTAATGCCGACCAAACACTTCTGCCTTTTGTAAAAGGGTGCATTGTTTTTAGACGTGTCATGCATACGAAGAAATTCGAGGAAAGTAACATCTTCTTCTTCATTTCGTGAGTAATATTTAAGAAGAGTTGAATTGTTTCCAGCATTTGTTGGTCTTGGAGGGACATAGGTCTTAGTGCTTATACTACACCATGCTGCTTTTATTGAAGACAAAGTCATGATCATTTCTGGCTCGCAGGGCTTCATGTCTCTCAAATGCCGATATGCTGCCTCTGCTGGAACAAGAGTTGTGCAAAATAGAGATGCACTAGATCGAGAATCCTTAAACTTTGAGACGTAGTTCGTTACATAACGCATCAACATACCACAGTGATCAGAAAATTGCACATCCATACGAGATTTCAAAAATGGTAAAACTGTCGAAATATAAGCTCTAAGCTTCAAAATGAACGACGTTTCCGAATAATGCAATGAAAGTTTTACATTATCATTAACAGCCTCTAAACATGTATCTTGTTCATTAACTTTGAGCACTGTCTCATTAGACTGTTGCAAATCATACACTAAGAAAGCAAGGTTAACATCATCATTTGGAATGTTGGCCTGAATAACATCATAAGAACATATTGAAATGTCCTCAATAGTTAAAGACATGGTTTCGCCATCTATTCGAATTTGTACCACAGAGGTATCCTCGAACAGTTTGCTCCAATATATGAACTATGTTCAAAGTCTCCAAAGCTGATAGCTCTGTTGGCATTTTCCCACTTATGTCAAGTGCATTCTTGAGCCATAAAGGACTTGGAAATGTCCATTCGTAAGGACTTATTGTAATGAAAAGATCAGGATATCCAAATTGAGGAACTGCATCTATTATGAATCGATAATGCCATCGCCAGTATTCATTACTAAAATTTTTTGTTGCTAGTGCAGTTGCAGCACTTGTTTGAAATTTTCGAGCAGAAGAAATAGCCCCAGTTATTGTTGTAAATAGCCATCTATCATATACAAACTGTAACAGCCCAAAATCCATTGAGTAATCAAGAACCTCACTTTGAATCTTCAAAGTGAAAGAAGCCTTAGCACTTTTACGATTGTTATTCTGTGAAAGTTTTGTTTCACACCATTCATAATATGGATATAGATGTGGCCATATCGCACACTCAATTCCGCTGTTTTCTTTATTTTTATAAACGTTTAATTGTTTACCAGACACAACATATTCCTCACGTAGTTGAATAAAATGAGAATATTTACTTGTCGCTGACCTTGTAAATAACGGTATGCTAGCATACATTTAACATAGCTACCTTCATCTAAATTTGCTATTTTTTCAAGAACAGATTTCTCTGACCAAGAAACATGAAAAATGCCATCTTTTTGTCTATAGCCGTGCTTTTGAACAGTGTAATTGCCTGTATGAACAGTAAAAGGACGAAGCGCAAGTATTTCTATTCGACTAAGTTTGTGTAAACACGTAGGAATTTGTAGCATTTGCGGAATATGATATCGATTACTTTGGCAAATACGTTTCTTAATCGTTTTTAATTTAGCTGTATTATAATTTGGCAAAAGCTTTTCACGATGCAACAATTTTCATTTGGCACAAAAGGACCAAGACTTATTTGTTGCCCATTTCCGCAATGAATAACCTTCATTTTCAGTTAATTCTTGACTTCTCGATATTGTTAAACCTATTTCGCTCTCTTCAAACAAACGTCTTGCCTCCTCTACCCTGTGTTGCCTCATTGACATTTGCGCTTCTTTCTCTCTCCACTGCTCAATTGGGTAAAATCCAATAACATGAATTTGCCTTATAGACCAAAACTCCTCATAAGAATTCACTTCCATTTTTAACAAGCACAATTAATAATTTACATCAAATTGATAATAACTATAAGTACAATACTTTTAAAAGTATTCCCAATAGTACTATCTTGATATCAATCTTTCATTATTTATAATGAAATTAAACTCCACGGCACAAACCAATCAACCTTGCTCAAATTATGCTAAAACACGTACTTCCATACAAAACCCTTTCAATTTATTAAAATATATCTTATACTGATATTTAAAGTACTTTCTTGATTAGTAATACAGAATAATCAGTATCAATAATGTCACACAAACTAACATTTTGAAAAGTGATCGCCATATTGTTTTGATTTTCCACTTCGTGCTTCCACTTTTCAAATTTCCATTTTCATGAAATTACGATATTATGCTTAGAAAACACGTACTTGCATACAAAACCCTTTCAATTTATTAAAAATATATCTTATACTGATATTTAAAGTACTTTCTTGATTAGTAATACAGAATAATCAGTATCAACTAGTGAATCTTTCTCAATAATGTCACACAAACTAACATTTTGAAAAGTGATCGCCATATTGTTTTGATTTTCCATTTCGTGCTTCCACTTTTCAAATTGCCATTTTCATGAAATTACGATCTTACGATACATCTTTTTAAACATATTATTTTCGTAATGGACACTTATGAATAAAATTTGTTTTCGATTTTAATCTTAATTTAACATCAGAAGAAAATGAAAAGCTTTTTTGTTCACAAATATCCTTTTCATAAACTCTTTGGCAACGGACTTTATTTTAATAAGTTATACAATTTCAGAAGATTGTTTCAACCTAAATAAGTCCTGAAATACTCAAACTTTTGTTAAACAATTCACTTCATTATATATCCTGCAGTAAATGCCTTCTATTGATAAAAATTTTATTACTTGGACATGTTTTAGAACGACTATAAATGCTGTTTCTCTGCCATCAACAACATGCATAAATTAAAACGCAATGAAACGCTTAATACTTTGCTCAGAATTTTAGAGTTTTCATTTGTAGATATTGCAAAACAAACAAGACCAATGTAAAATACACGTAATTTTCTACATATAGATGAAAGTTCAGCCTTTAACATTTAGTGTGATTTTGAGTTTGTGTAATATTTCCTTCTGGAATGATTTTTAATGCACAACATCTGTTTCTATGGCGATACGTTAATAGCATCTAAAGAAAACTTTCTCTCAAACAGTCTTTGATTTTTAATAAGATAATGAAAATACGTTTTTTATGAAAACAAATGATGTTCAGTCAATTCCCCATGGTTTAATTGCAATAAGATGTATAGCACTGGCAAATGACATATAAAGCATGCCGATCGGCTTCCTTATCATTGCCAATCATATGTCGCTATCACTATGGCAATAATTGTTCCAGTGTAAGGTGAAACAAACATCACATGAGAACGCATAGGCCAGAAATAAATTGCTCAAAAATGTTGATTCCTCTAGTCCTTACATGATGAAATTTTCATAAGTTTTAAGTGAAATATGTCAAAATAAATTGTAAATTGTATGAACACGTTTTTTGCTTATAAATTAATTCAAATAATATTTCTTGTAAAATTCTATCAAAAACGAATGAATTCTACAATAACTTAATGATCGTTAATAAAGCTTTAATTCGTTGTTTTGTTTATTCTCTCACGTTGTGCATATTTAAAGCTATAATACAATACATTGTCAACGATCAAAAATTACATAACTTCATACGAAATGAGATTTCACAAAGGAAATTTCCTTGAAAATGTTATGCAAACATTTAGTAAAAATTTTAAAATTTGCATTTTGTCGAAATTTTCTCTAAATTGCGTGTTAGCGCTTTAATAATGCTTTACTGCCCGATAGCCCATCTAATTTTAACGCTCTTTCCGAATCTGAAATCAGATTTCAAATCAGACTTGTGTCTCAAAGGTTATTAACGAACACATTGTATTGTTACACCATAGCTAATAACTTCGGTTTATCAACGCTACACACTTGAAATTTTTCAAAATTGTTTAGAAACATCAGGGCAATGTTCAGTTCAAATTTGAGCGAAATCGCGCATCACGCAAAAGTTATGAAAATAAAAAAATTTTCAGAAAAGTTATAATAATATATATAAGAATACTAATGAAGATGGTGAATTCATTAAAGTCTATATAAGTAAGCCGGCACTGAACTACGGTGCAGGTTTGCCCATGAAAATTTATCTAATGGTCTCTTTTAATAACACGCCTTTTATAACAATCAAATCTTTCCAATCCAAACCTTCCCACCTTCACTTCCAACAACATCCATGGTTTTGTTTTGCTTGGGTCATCATTACCATGAATTATTTAACAAAGCCAACACGTAATCTTATATTATTTTTTAATGAATTATTATGTTCAAAATTGAAATATGATATTTTTCTTAATTAGTGAGCTGGCAATAACATATTGGATAGCAGACAATATAATGTTTTTCTTCGTTGTTTCTTGAAAAACCCTTCTGCCTTACAGTAGGAACAAAACTAATAATCAACACAACAATAATAACAAAAATGAAATGTAAATGATACCACTCAATTGCATCTATAATATTTTATGACAAATT